TTAATCCTCGATTGGTTTATATATTGGAATCAACTGTGCTTTGCTTGTATATTTGTGCTTTGTGTTTACCTTAAGTGTACGATTTGCGACGAATATTTCATTAAAAGCATTAAAAATTGAAAGAAACCGTAAACATGATTGTAACAGACTTCAAACTGACAATCTTATCGAATTATTAGGTTCATCTTATCAAACTATACGGTCTTTCAGAGGTCTGTCAGCGGAAAACATCTGAACTAAACAATGGAAAACGAAGATGTCGAAAAGACATTCGAGGAACTACTTTCTTGTGACATTTTATGGAGATTAAACAGGCAATTGACTAATGTTACTATGAATTTTTATATCAGAAAATGCAATATACATCGCTAGGGACAAAAACTCTTACGTGATTGCCGTAAACGAAGGGTAGTCTTTATTCTCTCCAAGATAGACATAGTCTTCTTTTTATTTATTCTGTCTTCCTTGGAAAGAGCTGGTAAAAGTACATCCATGGAGGTTACCAATTAAAAACCTTATAATGGTTAAATGGGCTGTTAATCGATTCAGGGGCAATTTGTGGATCGCGATTGTTTGCTTCTCTTGTTATCGCAACTTATTTATTTTCATTAACTATCAACGTTGAGCGGTCCTCTTTTTTGGATGGTAAAGAAAAAGCAAGACCTCCCGAAAATGGGTTTATTTGGCATTAAGCTTAAAAGGAACAGCTGCACATAGAGTTACCGAAATCATTAGAATAGATATCTCCAAAAACTGTTCATATTATAAATTGAGTTCCATTCCATTGAGTTCCATATGTCGCGTTCAGAAGTGGAAAAGAGGAAGAAGAAGGGAGAACAAAGAGCGAAAAGGAATTGCTTTTTAAATGTATTCCGTAACAATTTGGAACTAATAGTAGATATCAAACTTTAAGTCGGCAATAATTCTTATCAGACAGTGTGTATAAAAATGTGTATGAGAATGCTTTCAATCAATCTATTTTTCATGTAATAATCACAGATACTATATACGGAGCTTTCTCTACTTGTTTTTTATTTTTTGTTGGCATCAATTATCATTGATAACGAACAACAACTATTCGAAATTGTAACATAGAAGCATAGTTGTGGTTTTTATCGTAAGTGTTCGATATAAAAACATTCACTTTACATTTAAGGCAAATTGTTAAAATGTTTAGTAGACTAAGTAAATTTGTGTGGTTTTAAATTGAGGCTGATAAGATTTCATTGAAATCTAATAACTCTTTACGTAACATCGCTCAAATCAAAGAAAACACAAAAAAAAAAAAAACAAAGCGTAAAAATAGTGTAGAAAGAGTATTACTACCGTATCCATAATATTATCCAATGCTATAAACCGTATTAGTTACACCGTCTCTTGAGAGTTTATCAAGTATTTATCGGCTTCGAAAAGAATCGAAATTAAACGTTTGCTATGTTCCGCAAGTATATAAAAATGTAATATTGTAATATATGGTTAATTGTGGACTTGCTAGTGAAACGACTGGAACGGGACCGAATCAGATGTTAAGCTAAATTTGAAATTCTTGCAAGTTTACGAAAATCTTGCAAGTCGAGAAATGTTTGCGTTTTTGCAATACGGATCACTTTGGGCGAAGACGATTGAAAGAAAGGCGGATAGATCGCAAATATCCAAGGCCAGACCTAGCATTAAATATCTCCCCCACATTGTTCAGCCATTTCTGTGATAACTCACTAAGAATGACGTGCAGTTTCTCATGTGTAACCATACCTTGTATGAAAACCATTATATGGTCAAACCGTAGTAGGGTCCATAGTGAATTTATATTATTTTTCACCTATTTTCACCGCAACAAAGCACATCGTTGCCATATAAAAGCCTAAATTTCATAAAAACGCTTAAGTAGGATTATCCGCTACAGTTAAGTTTTGTATCAAATTACTATAGTGAACCGAAGTTCATCATGAAATATAACAAAATTAGAACCTTTTTACAGTACAAAGTTTTATTTTTCATGGTCAGTTTCATGGGGTTCAAAAAACAGATCTAGGTGTTGCAAATTACGCATAGTGAATTTTTAGATCAAATTAATGTTATGGACTAATTTTTACTAGAAATATTGAAAATTAGACCTTTTCGTCTTCGTAGGAACGGTTATATGGGGAAGAGGATTGACCCAATTCAAATTTTCTAGACCAATCTCGTATTCTGGCATTCTATTATTTATTGATTATTTGATTTTTATTGAGCAATTTTGAGAATTGCAATTTTTTAAATATAAGGGCTTTTTGAAAACAAGGCATTGTAAAAGAAGTGGCCACAAAGGTGTTCTACAATAGTGTAGAGGTCGCATAATTAATATATGCAGTCAGCAAACATAAAAAAACTGTTACATCTCAGCCAAGTTAGTATCTTTCAAGTTGTGTCGCTAAAATCTTTTCAGAACATCCCCGTTCCACTTGTTCTCTCAGCGATTAGAAAGTGGTCCGTCAAATTTTGCTTAAATACTTTAGTTTTGATATATGATTCGATCACAACAGAAGCAGCATACTAAATGCACAATGGTTGCGAACACTTCTGAAGTTCATTGAACTGGTAAGACGGCGAGTGCATACATTAGTTGAGACCTGTCTACATACACGATATGTCTATTAAAAAATTTGAGTAAGAGATATTGTTTAGCACACAGTTGCCATTTTTTATGTCCATCGCCGAAGGATGGAATGTATGTATCATAGAAGCTTCAGATACCCTACAAAGTTTATATATATTGTTAATCAGCGTGAAATTCTGAATCGATTAAGCCTATCCACCTGTGAGCCCGTGTGGTGTATGTTGTTGACAATCTCCTGGTCGCAAAAATGAACCCGTCAATTTCAAAGTTGGTAGAAACATTGAAAATTTCTGCACGCAGGGTTGCTGTTGAATATGGGCCAACTTGGTCAGGGCACCCGCTCGCAGCAGAGCATAAACTAAACGCATAAATTGATGGACATTTGCTCTTTACCCACAAATTGTGAAATTTTCTACATTTACTTTATGGAAAACTCGTTAAAAGAATTGCCAAATCTCAAATAAATATGGTGGACACCACGGCATGATGGATTAAGTTTTTTTAATAATACCATCGACATGGATGTTAAACAAAAGGACTCGGAGAGTAAAATGCGACAAACTAATAATGGTAACTGTAAATTATTTATGGTGGACGTCACGACGTGATGGATTAATTTTTCTTAACAATGCCTTTTAAAAGGTGGAGGCCAAATTTTATCGCATTCACTTTTGGTAACGGTGGCGGGTGTGTGACATTCAGCCTACTTGCTTTTTTTTTGTAATGTTACCAATCACTCAGGGAGTGCCCCCTATTCGTGCAACAAGGTGAAGGTCAAAAAGAATTGAAGTAAGAGAGATAACAAGGCGGCCGCAGCCTTTTGGGCGCCCACTCGGCATATGTTGTGTCTTTGCCGATTGAGCACTCACGATAGATAAGTAAACACCACCACATAGTCGTCATTAAGACCAGGTTGTGTACACTGGTGTTAAAGCCCAATAGATAAGAACATATTTTAATTAACTTACTCATGTCACACGGAAAACAGTTTAGCTAAAAGGAAATCGTATAGAACTTTAAAAGAGAAAGTTTATCGCAAAAGTGACTCTGGAATGGAAGCCGGATATTTAAATTTTTTTGAATCTCTGCACGAACTAGAGGGAAGCGAAGTTTAATTTGAAGACAATAAAATGAGTAAACTTAAGTTTGTATTTATTGTTCCAACGATAGTGTGTAAGCGATACTTTTTTCCCTCAAATTTTACATTGATTTATTTATTGTACTGTTTGACATTTTTTCAAATTTTTTTATTGAGACTATTTTTGTGTGCGAACTAATCCCCGATTTTCTAAATTAATATTTTCAATTTTGCGAATTTCAAGAAAGCCGACAGACAAACATAAATGACTTCAGGTTGATGATCTCCGCTTATCCCTCTGTCTGTCTGTCCGTCCGTCTCATCTCTGCGCAACCATTCTGGCGTTCAGCCTAAAGGCCACTTTGAGCTATTTTGCTGAAATTTGTCATATTCACGTGTTTTGATCCGAAGACGTATTTTATTGAAAATGGATTGGTACGAGCTGTTTTTTTTTTCAACTATTCCTCATATAGTGCGTTAGTTTGAAAAATCGTTATATGAAAGCAAAGTAGAATTTTCAAAATTCCTCTACAAAAATCGCTGAGTAACAGGATTTCGGCATTCTAAGTGAAGGTAAGAAATTTGAATCAATTTTTTGAACTCCCTTTCAGTTTGACATAGAAATCAGGTGTACCAAATTTGAACCACGTGGGTCTATTTTTGAGCCTTATTTCATATAAGGGTGTAAGCGGATGAGTAAAAAGCAATTTAGGGCAAAAAGGTTGAAAGTGCTCTCATAGTAGCAATTTGGCATAAAAATGAATCGTAAGACAATTTGGATCATATAAGTTTATTTTGTAGATCCTCCACCGTACATATGGACCCTGATGTGGCGACAAAGTCTAATTTGTACTCCTAAAAATAATAAAATCTCTAACGAGTGAATTAAATTTGTTACATTTGAATCGAGTCAGTTAATGAGCGGATCAAGTATATGAGCACACTTATGAAAATAATGTAAAATAATAATTTTTGATATATTATCACGAAAAAGAATGAATAACTGTATTAAGTATATGATCGACCTTGCCCGATTACAAAGTTTTCATTGTTGACCTATGCTACCTTTGAGCTATCGTCAAACAATAAGATATGCATTTAACTTATTTCTGAATGTTCCAGCCGTATATTGAATGAGTGGCTCTCGTAGAATTTTATCATAGATCGATTCTGTTGTTTTTTTTTTTTTTTTTTTTTTTTTTTTAAAAAAAATATATTTAAAAAAAAAAAAAACGAGTTTTTTTTTTCAAATTATTCACGAAGACGTGTAAATTCATTAAAACTACCGATACATATGGTGCGAAGTCAGCACTAAATGGCTCTTACATGACAAAAGTGGATTAAAGTTCATTCTCAACAAAAATCGGGACAATTAGCGAAGTAGCCAAGCAAGACTTGCGACATCGCGACCGTAAATCATTCTTGGAGAGAATACACTTTAAAAATTAGTAAACTTTACGACAGAAAATCGAATTTATAAACACAAGAATTGTCATATCGGTCGGTTTAATGGTTGACATTCGCGAACCATTAACCCCTTAAAAAAAGGTTCGTTAATGAATATAACAAATAAATATTTTATTCTGAACCTAATTAGTTATTTCATAAGAAAAACAAGTATATATATATATATATATATATACATATTTTATTATTTTCGAAGTTCTCACAATTAACTAAATTCGATTGCAAGGTGAGTCTGATTTTAAAATATAAATAAGTTTTTTTTTTATTGTTTCAGTGTTAAGCAAAACAGTAATTAATTCGTTTGTTGCAAACAATGAAAAGAAAATGAAAAAATTAAATGAAATAAAATTTACATGAATGAAGAAAATTCTTCCTTCCTTCAATTCCTTTCAATAATGATAAAAGAAAACTGCAGCCAGTTATAAGCGGAATGATTGCATGTCAACAACAAGGGCCGGTATTAATAACACTTAAAAGGAAAATGTTATTGATAACGTTTTGCATAAATACTACATTCGCACTGACTGACTGACTCATATACGCATACTCGCGAATACAAGCATAAGTATTTAAATTCCAAGCATTTATGTTCTTTTTGGTTTTGCTTTATTATTTTACTCTCTGACATCAAAATGCAAATTAGTCTCAATTGAAAAGTTTTGAATTGAAATCAATTGATCTGATCATAGCAAAAGTATACGGCGTCTATAATGAATTGTTTTGTTTTTTTCTATTTTTTATTGTTTTGTTTTTAATATGTTTCGCTTTGGTACTCAATTTCTACACTTGTTGTTTCTGTTGTTGCTCATTGAAGCATAACAGCGTAAAAGAATATTTAGTTCAAATATCAATTTTATCTTAACTGCACTCTTTTTAATTGACTTAATTAACAAGACCAGCGAAGTAATATTTTGTACCGCACCTAGAAATATGCACCAAAAAAAACTTTACAAAAAATTTATACTTTTCTTTAACTTTTATGGGGACATAGTTAGTGCCCTGTAGTCCGAGAACCAACTAAAAGTTTTCCACGTAGTCTGGTCTCGTATTCTATTATCGCTTTTCTACGTTAAGTTCAAGTTCAAAGTTCATTAGGTAGATTCGGCAAGAGAAGACGTTACTTTCTCTTCCTAAGTGTAAATTTCTATGTGAAAACTATTTTTTTTTGCATGGTCTTCATAGTGAGTACAGTTCTTAGTCGCTTAATGTCGTGTGGAGAAATTCAGATATGAAGCGTAAGCAGAGAAACTGGATTCATAAGTCACTACTTAAAGATCATATCTCCTACGGGTCAGTAAGAGCGAAGTGGAAAAGTTTAAAGTTTTGGACCTGCTTGTTATTGTGATCTTAGAAGTCTAGAAGAAGGTTATTACAGGTCAGCTAAGAATTTGAACAAGGTATGTATTCTGCCGTTGCCTATTCTCATGTCGCTCTCATATAAAACATAACCTTCCCAACCAAAAACTTCCCCCCTTGTCGCTTGCAGTTATTTTTGACCCTACTTCATATGGAGACTAACTGATAGCAGTTCTACTAAGGACCAGAAAATCGTTGTGGCATATATTTCGTATGAACCCTTACTAACAACAGTTAACAGCTTCAACCACGCAAGAATTCTGCGATGGCTAGAGTTCTAATGTTCAGATCATATTTAGCCTAACCGATAACTATGCACCTAATCAGAAATTTATTCTGATGCTTTTAGCTCTCACATCCCGTTCGCTCAACAACAGCCAAGAAAAAAAAGTTTGAGCGGAGACTTGGTTAACTTGTAAGATAGCGATTCCAAGAACATGTGATGTCTAGCTGTCAATAATTCGGCGAATTCTGTTTGACATTAATTCTAGAAGCTCGGGGTTGCAGAGTTTTTCTTAAAGCGGAAGAGGAAAGCTTTTTCTCGCAATCCTGAAAAAGGCCAGGAGGTGAAAGTTTTTGCATAGTAAACCTTAGTGTTGTTGCTGCTAAGGAGCAAGAGGCTTTCGAGTGTGCGCATGATTGTACACGTGACTGAAGACTTTGTGAACATATTTCTTACTTTACTTCAGAACAACTAGATGACGGAGTATGTACGACTGGATGTAAAACCTTTGTTAATTCCAAAAAAAAATTTTTAATTAATGAAACAAACTAATTGAGGCAAGTCTCCATTCACATCTTTAAAATAATGTTACGATTCCTTTTCTAGTTTTTTTCTAATAATTTAATCTAACAATAGCCCTTTAGATAGGTTTATAGGTTATTCCGATTTCTTGTGAAATTTTGCAATTAGCCAAGGCAACTTTCCGAAGACGAAGATCAACTCACGATCGTTACAATCGCCCTAATTAATGAATAACTAAGTGGCCTGGCAAGAAAGCCGAAAGAGCGGATGAATTTCATAAGCTTCCCATCTTAATAAGACAAAGCTTTGTGAGGAATGTAGAAAACATTACGGGTTATACACGCGGGCGCTGGTACCCATCCCAGCTTAAGAATTACGTATAGCTTGTTGCTTATCGGTTATTTTCTGTTCAGTACGTATTTTTTGCGCGTAAAACTTTCATACTCATCGTTGTCCGAGAATATAAAAGGGTAAAAAGTGAATTTTAATAACATTAGATGGGCGTGGCTAATTTTTTCTATCTTTGTAGAATAAAAGCGGAAATTCATATCGTATGCCTGAGGCGGATATCTTCATTTTCAGGACTATGAGGGCGTTCATCAGTGTAATTAACGCACAGATAGACAGGCGGAGTGACAAACGGTTTAGAGTTGATACTGGCCAGCAATACGAAGACTTTATAGGGTGCCTACATTTTCTTCCTGGGTACTACGAACGCTTTGGCAAGACAACCCATAGAATATAAATGCCAATTTCACATTGCGGTATCTGTTGCGTTTTATAAGTAACGAGCAAGAAACCGGCTGTTTTGTTTGTTTTTTAAAGCAAAGGTAGTCTGAGGTTAGTCGTGTGCTTTGATGGATTTGGCCCAATTTCAATATCAAACTGCGTGCGAGAGCTTGCCATGCTTCTGCCACATTTGAAACAGATAGATCCCTTTTTGTCATCAAGAGCATATTTACTACAGACCTTACACAGGTAGACAGACGGACCTGCTTAAATTATGATGTTGATCATAGATACGAATACTCTATGGTGTTTCTCGAGCTTACATCCGAGTATTGCAAAATGATTCTACCCCTTATCCTTCGGTGATGGGTATAAGGTTCAATAAGTGTTCCATTTAAACTTTGCAGTTAATATGAAATCATGAAATCACTTTGTTTTGTGTGGGTTGATAGAACAGTCTTAGATGTTCATTCCAAAATATTAAATTGCTGCGCAGATGCAAGAGGTTATTTTAAACAAAGAATTTATGTTAAATTTTGTTTGAGAATGCTTCATTAGAATTTTGGTAATGAGGCTACGTTGCAAACAAATGTTTACAAGACTACGCAAAAGAGAGTAAGAGTAACTTCAAGGAGAACAGCAATTCGGACGACCATCAACATCTACTGGCGGAACCTAGGTCAAGGCAATCAAATATTTGATGCGACGAAATCGTCAATTGACGTTGGAGATCTTCGTGATGCGGCAGGCATTTCATTACTTTGTGGTCTTGCTTATGAAAGCAAACGCATCTGTCAAAGCATTGATTTCTGACCAGTGACGGTCATTCGAATGATTCAGTACCACACGGTTTTCCTGGCTGTTCAACAGGCTCAAAAAACTGCTCTAGGCGCACAGGTTCCACTTGGCTGATGAAGTAAAAGCTATCGCTTACAAACTAGCATAAGAATTTGAAACTGATCCAAACTTTCTAAAGAACACGCCTACAATGCCCATATGCTTATATAGCAAAGCCAGTGAACACTTTTGCTTCCCTCTCTCTTGCTCATTGCTGATAAACTTCAACAGATACAGGGCATGAGTTTCCAAAATATTATTCCACAAAACTGGAATAACGTACAAGAAATTCGGTCACAACCGAATGTAATTTTCTTATATATTTTTTTATTTACAATAATAATATTACAAGCATTGTATTTTATTATGTTAAAAACAACTTTTTTTGAGGTGACACTAAAAACACTTTTAATTTAAGTTTACATTAATTTATGAAAATGTCATTAAATGTTGTTAACAATAATGAGAATAAATTACATTAAGGATGACAGCGTGAACAGTTCATAGCATTAAGAAAAATTTCGGCTTAAATTTTGATTTAAGATATAAGTTTAGGTGCAAGATTTTAAAATTTAAATCCGTTCCAATTTCCATATGTGAGGTGATCTCAATTCAAGCCAGAATAAGCCAAATTGGTTTCGATCGTATTACAATATGAAGCGCGCATATATTAAATGAGCATTTATTTATTTATTTATGGATATTATTACAATTATTTGTAATGATAATTGTAATAAATCTAAATATTAACATGTGGGCGGACAGAGAACCAGGCATGATTAAATCCACTCTTACATAGATCAAGAATATGCATACTTTGTAAGGTTTGTGATGCGTTTTGCTGACTGCTATAAATGGAAAAACAATATATGTCTGACCATCGTACTACAGTGTTAGTTATAAAAACAAAGCTTGTTGAGAGATGCCCTTAATAAAAACACTTGGGAAAATTTAAGTCGCTTGCGACCGAATCTCTTCTGTCCCTTATCTTCAGAAAAGCAGAAAAAATTGAATTTTGATGCTCTATAGTACAGAGTGGGTGTGGCTGATTTTTTTCATTTTTCTAGAAAACATATCTTGTGAGTACTGAGCAAAAAAGCTAGAAAGCGAGAGGTGCCCCTAGTTTGTATTATACTGTAGGCGTGTTCATTTTCTATACCAACACACATTTAAACACTTTTGAGGACAAATTTTAAGCCAATATTTTTATTATTGCGATCAAAAGAATGCTACCCTGTGTTTTAAACAGATGGTACCATGGACAGATGGACATGTCCAAATGAATCCCGAATTTGATACTGGTCGAGAATGCATATATACTTTATAGAGGATCTGAAGCTTCCTTCTCGGTGTTTTGACATGACGACACTTTATAACGCATATTGATACTTTGATCTGTGATAGTTTATGAATAACG